AGATGCGCAGGATGTCGTCCTTGAGATTGGTGCCGCCCGTCGTGACCATCACTTTGGCGTTCATGTGTTTCGACAGCTCCAGACAGATGTGCGACGTCTGCAGCGCGAGCTCCCGCGTCGGCACCACAATCAGCGCCTGGATGTGCTGTGACGTCACGTCCACCTTCTGCAGCAGCGGAATGATGTACGCGCCCGTCTTGCCCGTGCCGTTCTTCGCGCGCGCCAACACGTCCCTCCCGAGCAGCGCCACCGGAATGGCCGCCTCCTGGATGGGCGACGGCCGCTCCCACCCCTTCTCGAAGATGCCCATCAGCAGTTCCCGGTTGAGGCAGAACTCGTCGAACTCGTTGCCGCGCGTGTTCGTCACGTCAGAGGTCTGCACGCGGGTGTCGCGCGGCGGCGCCTTCAACGCCGACTTCCAGTCGTCCCTAAGAGAGAGAGAGTGAGGGTGAGCACATTGACACCACCTTGGTCGTCGTGGACTCACTTGACGCCGTTGTTGTTCATTTGGAGAGCAGTTGTGGTCATTGTTGTGGTTCACAGTAAGTCTCGCTCAACAATGAGTTTCATTTGTCAGAAAAGCGAGTCTTTTATACAGAGTTTGTGTTCAAGAGTTGAGAATTGTTTGACGAAAACTCGCTCTCAAACAATATGGCGTCACTTGCGTTGAGAGCGCCCTCTGGCGGCCAATCGACGGCTCTCTTTGTCTCCCAACCGATCGATACTCCGTTCCGGACCACAAATTACGTCACAAACAACACAACACTCACCACAGAGTTGTGTTGAGAAGGGAAACACTTTTCGCACAAAAATTGATGTTTTTCTCACAAATTCTGTGATAAATATCACGAAATGAATAACAGTTTAGAAAATTCCCAAAAACTGTAATAAAAGTGAAAAACATTCACTTTTAGCAAAAAGTGTGAATAAATGCAAAAGTTTTTCACTTTTAAACAACTCTTCACTCATTGGACGACAAAAAGTGATTCGAAATGACTTTATTATATTTGAAACTTTATTGTTGAACGCGATTAAAGTTTATTTCATAATTAGAGCTTTATTTCCAAACTTTACACAATTTACAAACTGTTGATCACGTGTTCTGCCGTTTCGTCCAATCGGCGCGAAGAGTCTGAGGACAGCATGAGAATGCCGCCGAACACGTCCATCAGCTTCTCGGGCAACGAGTCCTTCAGATCGGTGGCCAAAACGTGCGAAGAGTTGCCCAAACTCTGCATCTCTTCGCGAATGCCCGACAGAGCGGTCAACACCTGCGTCTTGACGGCGCCCACGCAGTCCTCCAGTTGCGAGCGCCCCCTCTCGAGCTCCGCGCGCGACTCCGCCCGCAGCGCCTCCACGTGCTTCTCGAGCGCCGCCTCGATTCGCGCGACCGATTCGCGCGTCTCTCGCGTCTCTCCAATCAGAGCGTCCATTCGTTCGCGCGTTCCTCCAATCGCTGTCAAGCACTGCGAGCGCCAGTCGCGCGATGACGTCATCTCTTCGCTCACGTGACCTCTCATTGCGGTCAAAGTCGCGTTCATTTCCGCCAAACGTTCGGATTCTGGAAACAGACAAAAGCGTTGGAATCACGTGACGACAGAGCAGTGAGTGTTACGAGTGCTGTGATTGGTCGCCGTCTGCGCGCCGTTCGCCGCAATGCCCTCCAACACGAGTTGACACGCGTTGAGGCGTTCGCACAACTCGTCGACGCGCTTCTGGCTCTTGAGGCCGTTGCGCGAGATCTCCTTCAGCGAGCAGTTGACCGCTTCCTCCACCACCGCTCTGTCGCTCAGAGCGCGCAGTATTTCCGCCTCTT